TGCATATGCAATAATTTCCACACATGCTGAAATCTTGTCTTCATCTTCTGTGATGAGGATTCCTCACTCAGCCACTGCTGAGTTTTAGGGACCTCACTATTATACACTGGTTGTTATTTAGTTCTTCTCCACAGGCTAAGTCAAGAACTAACATGAGTAAAAATTAATATGTACATGGGTGACTTATTTTATTAAACTCATTGCATTAGCTTACAAAGGTGGTGGAGTTTACTACTACAAGCACAGTTATACAGTATTTTGTGGGACAAAGGGCACACAGACATAGCCAACTTCATACTGATCCCATTAAACAACTTGTCAGGGACAAGTTATTGACCTCAAGATATGACCACACATGTTGAAACGTCCCATGGCTGGGGACTTGGAGGACACTAACATTTACCAATAGCTATGGAGAGCTTCTTTTCTCCCTTCTCTGCCCAAAGCCCAACGTGTCTTTCTTAACCTTTACAGTGGACCGAAGTTGGTCTGCCTCTGGGTCCAGCAGCTGTTTCTCCTGCATGTGGCCTCATCGCACCCTTGATTCCACTGCTCCCTATTTCTAGTTTATGCCACCCTGATGACTTGATACTGGAAGAAACAAATCTTGAGGGAGACTTGCAGCTAGGGTCTATCCTCTCCTGTTATCAGCAGCCTTCTCTGGCTCTCCTTGTGCTTGCTCTCTCTCTCTCTCTGTTTATCCCTTGCTTCTTTGCATCTTTTTTGTCCTGGTCCTTCAAAATCTCCCCAGCCAAGCAAGGCTACTTCAAGAGCCTTCAAAGTCTCCTTTAAAATTATATTAAAAGGCAATAATTTCCCTCAGCTTCAGATTCATATGACAAGGACATTTCAAGTTTGAGGAGGAAAAAGGGGATTGTTTAATCCAAAGCCCAATGTAATACACAGTGGAACACCACAGGTTAGCAGAGAGAGAGGAGAGTACAGCACAGTAAATACTACATTCCTGGAAGTGGGCAGAAGTGGAACTGAATGCTGTGTGCAGGACAACTCTACCTACTTAAAAGTTAGGAAACTCCTTTATTTTTAAAGATAGAGGGGTTGATACATACCTCAGAATGGCTCTGAGCATTGAACGGGAACCTTTGGCAACCAGTGACTATCAGCATCCCTACACTTCCTGCCTCCTTTCTCAGTTATCCTCAGAAGGGATCAGTCAAATTCAAATTGCCCCCAAATTTCTACTAATAATGATCTTTCCTGTTGGAGAGGGACTGGTTCCCTGAGGAGGAGTGCCCAGATAATTTCATCACTCCTTCTCAGGGGCCCTTAGAGGAAACAGGCAATGGCAGAGTCAGTACCTATTTGAGATGAGCAAAAACATCTACTACAAGAATAAAATAATTAATATATGTAAATTGTGTATAAATGGGTCTGACTTATAAAAAGTGCATTATAGGGTTAGCTATTATTCTAACAATTATAGAACAATTTGTATCTTGGAGAAATAATTATTAATTTACTTACAAAGGTCATCAGCTGCCACTTTTATAAACATGTAGATAATGAGTAAGGAACAGGGCACAGAGGTGATGGTATTCATAAAATATCAAAGGTGTTTAATAAAAGGACATGATGAAATTCAAGGGGTTAAGCTCTTGTGAGAAAGGTTTCAGATTGGTTTGGGGGCAGGGGAGGGGAAGATTGATCAGAAAGATCTCCAGCATAAGATGACTACAGAGAGCTGGCAGAGTGAGCCTTTTCAGACCTGGGTTAAAGAGGATTTAAAATCGCTGAACCAAACATGAGTTTCGATTATTTGTGGATGGCTGTTTCATTGGCTAATTTTCTGACCCGCAAGGAAAAAAAAAAAAAAATCTTGGCTTCAAAATCCACCATGACCCATTTTTATAGGACTTTTAAAAGTTCTTAAAATAGACTTTTTGTGTTGCTGGTTTAACCAGAGAGAAGATAGTTTTGTGTGATTGGTGTGCAAATGCTTTAAATGATATGTGGGTAGATGAGATTCAGATATGTATGAAGTCGGCAGTGAGCTGACAGACTCGGAGAGAATGCAGGGACTGAGTGAGACATGGCCTTATCAAAGTCAAATAAATCTAGTGTAAGTAAGAAAATAAGGAATTGGAAGTTAAGTATCTGCAGTCAGAAAATAGGCTTGTAGAGGTCAGGAGATACCATGGAGTGAGCAACGTGGAATTGAATTAAACCCACCAACACTGAGGATGAGAAGCTAGATAGAATGTATTTATTAACTATTTTTCTCAAGTAAGGACACCCCACACCTTTCTCAGAAAGACACATTTCAGATCATTGCAACTAATGGAATGGGCAATATTTCCAATTTCCATGAGAAATATTTGCCCTCAAAATTTGTTTTCAGTTTTGTTGCAACTTTTATATAAAAATCTTACTGTGGTAAATATATTTTAGATGAGGCCCTGGGATGGGATTACGATTTTAAAAGTGAAGGCTATAATTTTCTACTAAAAACCCAGAAATTACATAATCTGTATCTCATATAAGGCTGAGAATGCTGGAGTGTCAGACAGTATACTTTTGGAACTCCGCACATCACATAAAGCTTTTTTTATACCAAATTGAAATGAGTGAAATCCTAATACTTTACAAATGCATTTGTGCCACGTGTAAGAATTTAATTTTATGTAAATTATGTGCATTTTAAAGATGATCATTTAATCATGTATTCTCTTACTTTAGCCAAAATTATCTATCATATATTTACTTATCTTTTTGTCTATCTATCTTTAGAGATACAAGCTTCTTTTAAAAAAATCCTTTTCATTTTCCTTGCTTTTGTTTTTTGAAAGCATTCTGTAATTTTGCTTTTGACAAAAATGAAAATGCCAGCAATGGGACAATGGTGAGATACCTGTTATCTTAAAAAGGAAATCAGGTCTTTTGGACATGATGAGGTTGGTTGGACCCACGGGGTTGGGGTGTGATAGATTAAAGCAAATGAACAAACCAACCAACCTAAAACAAAAGCAAAACCAAACTTATTTTCAAACTTTCTTCCTAATGTAATCGTATCTCACATACCATATCTAAAATAATACCATAGTTTTTTCTATATATGATTAATATTAAACCACACATGCATTTGCCAAGAGTCTCCCAAATGTTACTGGGAATGTTTAGTTAAACGCATGTGCTGGGACTGAGGATGGATTTTGCGTTGAGACCACTGATGTTTTACCAAGAAGTTAAAGGCTTTAGCGTCTGCCAGGAGCTTATCTTTTGACTTTAGAAAGAGAACCTGAAAAAGTAAGAGTGGGAGAAAAATGGTAGTCAATGCAGAAAACAGAGGGGAAAGAAAGAATAATAGGGATACAGTGTCATCAAATGGGATTCATACATACAGAAAATCACAAGGTCAAGGAAGTATTTGTTGACTTGTATTAATTCACTCAATGATTAATTTGTTCATCACCAAGCATTTATCAAATAGTATATTCCGAGTGAACAAAAAGACATCATCTTACCTTACTGAACTTAATATGTACTGGATGTAGAAAAATAAAACAGTACAAAACAGTATAAAGACAATTCTTGATTACAATTGTGATGTACGGTATGAGACAAACAACAAGAATTCGAGCAGGGGGACAGCTCCTCTCGTGAGAGGGAGAGAGACATTTGTAAATCCAGGTCCCTACAAGGAAAACACACCTCTCAGAATCTGCCCTTCCCATGTTTCCCTACTAATACTCTAGGAGCAAAGACTTCAACTTAGCACATCTTCTGGAATTTCACATTTCAAATTCTCAGGATGACTAAGGATATTTAGCATTAGCAAATTATGCTCTCTGCTTTCCACTTCATCATCTCAATGCCCATGTACAATAGATTTTCCCAATGAGGGCTTTGCAGGAAGAATTAGTTCTATTCTTCCCTCCATATTCCTCAAGAACAATACAGATTCCTGATTTACAAAATTATTCCTTCTGGGCTTATTCTCAATTTTAGGGCTTTGTTCTCAGTATCTAGTTTGCTTCTAATTGTTCTAATGTTTGAACAGTTTTTCAGTATATGTGTATATATATATATATATGTATATATATATATATATATACAGCTGTATACATATAGCTGTATATTTTTATAATGAAGGAAAATGTGGAATGCCTTATTCTTATTTTTTTAAAATAACACAGGTCAAGGAAGAATTCCGTTTGTTCTTCTCTTCACCATCACAGTCTCTTCCAAAAGAAGCTATTATTATTATCAATGTAGCATGTATTTTTGGATACATAAACTGATATTTATATGATTAAATTGTTTTATAAAAAGTGTTATCAAATATGTGAGTGTGTACCTTGCTATCTCTTGCTTAAACTTTGAATGCTTATCAATCCAAGTCTTTTTTATGCTGTGGAATACTCCATTTGTGGGCTGATATCAAGTCATTTAACTATTTACTTATTGATGGCCAGTCAGGGTTTTTTTATTATTACTATTATATTATTTCAAACATTGCTGAAGTGAAGATTCTTTTTTTTTTTAAGCTTTTATTTATTTGACAGAGAGATAGCCAGAGAGGGAATACAAACAGGGCAAGTGGGAGAGGGAGAAGAAGGGAGCCCGATGCGGGGCTCCATCACAGGACCCTGGGAACACAACCTGAACCGAAGGCAGATGTTTAACAACTGAGCCACCCAGGCACCCCTGAAGTGAAAATTCTTATTCAAGTCTCTGTGTTCATAAACAAACCTCAGAGTATAAATCTAGGGCAGTGCTAAGAACTGGAATTTCTGGATGAAAGAGTAGATGCATTTTTAAGCTGACACATGTAACAAAGGAGCTGACAAAATACTATACAATACAGATTTAGATTATGACCTCTTGTGTATGAAATATGAATTCTCAATACATTCATCAACATGCAGCCTTATCAAGCTTTCTGACTATGAGAAGGTGATGAGTGTCCTGTGCTTCCCTGGACCACTTTTGGTGATGAAAAGAACTGGCTCGTGGGTGACATCTCACTGGCCTTAACCCCATTATTGCTTTCTTGGAAGAAAGAGTTGGATTAACCCCTGGCGAATCTGCTTTGTCTTAACACTGTAGATGATGGGGTTGAGCACAGGAGGCACCAGAAGGTAGACATTGGCCAGGAGTAGATGGATCGCAGGGGCCGTGTGCTTCACGAAGCGGTGCACGAGAGCCACGCTGATCATGGGCACATAGTACACAAGCACAGCACAGATATGTGACACGCATGTGTTAAGGGCCTTCTGCCGCCCCTCCCCAGAGATAATGCCCAGGACGGTGTAGAGGATCAGCACGTAAGAGAGGACAATGAGCAGCGAGTCCAGCCCAAAAGTGGAAGTAACAATGCAAAGCCCCAGAATGCTGTTGGGACGTGTATTTCCGCAGGGCAGCTGGATTAGATCTGAGTGAAGGCAGTAGGAGTGGAAGAGTACATGTGACCACAGAAGGGCAGAGGTTTCAGGAGGAAGGGCAGAGGGAACATGAGCATCACACTCTTCAGTCCAAGTGTAGCACCAGCAGCAGCAATACGGGATCTGGTCAGAATGGTGGTATACCTCAGTGGCTTGTAGATGGCCACAAAGCAGTCCACAGACATGGCTAGCAGAACTCCAGACTCCATGATGGAAAATGAATGTATGGAGAACATCTGCAAAAGGCAGGCTTCAAAGCAGATCTCATTGGCACCAAAAAGGAAGATGCCCAACACAGTGGGCAGAGTAGACACTAAGACGCCAAGTTCTGAAAAGGCCAGCATAGCTAGGAAAAGGTACATCGGCTGGTGCAGAATGGTGTTTTTCCTGATCACTGCCAGGACCAGGCTATTGCCCACAAGTGCCACAAGATATATGGAGCAGAATGGGAAGATAAACCAAGGGTACAGGGCCTCCAGACCAGGGAGACCAGTTAGCAGGAAATATTTGGGGCTGAATTTACTGCTGTTGAACATTTTCCTATGGAGTCTGAGTATTTTGACCTGGGCGGGTGCCAGAGACACAACCTGGGGTGAGACACATGAAAGTTATTAGAAACTAAGAGAGCCTGCAATTTCCTCTGCCTCATATGATCTGCCAACTTAGGTCCCTCCTCTCATTCATTACCAGTTCCTTTTGGTCTTCGACGCGAAATGTGGAGTCATACTTGCAAATAAGCTTATCTCTAGAATAAGGGAATCTGGTAGAATATTTTATCACTCATATTTATAACTAATCTCCACTGTGGTTTCACTGTGTTTATCTGGTAGGAATTGAATGTTTTCCATGTTTCTACCAAGACATGGCGTTGTGTAGCTTTAAAAAGACATCATTGGAAAGACACTAACACAAAGAAAGCTATAATCTGTCAGACATTCCCTAAATTCCCTGTTAAAGAATGTTGAATTTTAAGTAATCACTGGGGACAGGGGTTAGAATAAAACTACTTCAAAGTTAGTAGAGAATTGCCCAAGAGATAAAGATTCTAAATGCCTATCTCTGCCACTCGGAGCGGCACTGAAGAATGCTCTCCACTGGAGACACAGACTTACGTAGTTTTACCGGATAAAACAGCTCTAAAATGGTCTCAGTTCTCCATGTTCTTTCTACAGCCTTCTGGACGATCATTTTGGCTTTTTACCCACACTGGGGTAGAGCACACAAAAAGTCAATGTTAGAAAGGTTAATGAAGAGAAATACTTTGCCTACTGGAATTCCTATTAATGGAAAGAAGTATTCTGCCCAATGGAGAATTGCTCTCCCATTGTCAATCCACACACAGCATGCTCAAACAATACTTACTGTGGTCTATGGGAATGATGGGCAGTAGTCCCAGAGTAGTCCCTTCAGACCAAGTTTTTGAAACTGCACATATAAAAACAAAAGCTTTTTATTAAAAGATTTTTCATATATATATACACACACACACACACATATCTATATTTGGTTGGTTGTGGGTGGAGTGTGGGAGTGAGGGGGAAAGAACTGGGGGAGAGGCAGAAGGAGAAAGAGAATCCCAAGCAGACTCCCTGAAGAGTGTGGAGCCTGACAAAGGGCTCGATCTCATGACCCGGAGATCATGACCTGAGCCAAAACCAAGAGTTGAAACCAAAAGTTAGACACTTAACTAACCCGGGCACCCCCAAAACAAGTCTTTTTATTCACGATGGTCCACTTCAATAGTGCTGATGGCTTCTGAAAGCCTGCCTGGAAAGGCAACCTATATAGGAAACTGATTTTAAAATGCATGGTGCCCCCTGGCACTTCAAAATGGTCTGGTGGAGAGGAAGTCAGTGGCATCTGAACGTCATCCATCAATTTAAAATAGTAAGAGGAATGGTGATTTTTGTTCCCCTGCACTGTTTAAGATAAAGGAAAACTCTTTACATCCCATGCATACATCCTTTTTGAATGGCACACTTCTTAATGGTGACAAAACTCCTGTGAAATCCACCTGCTTAACTTGACTTGTCTGCAAATCCTGACACACCTTAACTCCTCTTTTCCGTCCTGGTCATTCTTATGATTTTTGTTTTGTTTTTGTTGTTGTTTACTTTGTTTTTCTTTTCTGCCTTCCGTTTCTTAAGTACTTCAGCATATAGCTCAACTAAAAGTTGTATTTTAAAACAAATGCAGGGATGCCTGAATGGCTCAGTTGGTTAAGCCTCTGTCTTTGGCTCAGGTCATGATCCTAGGGTCCTGGGATCAAGTCCAGCATTGGGCTCCTTGTTCAGTGGGGAGCCTACTTCTCTCTCTGCCTCTGCCTGACACTCTGCCTGCTTGTGCTCCCTTTCACTCTCTCTGACAAATAAATAAATAAAAATCTTAAAACAAAAAACAAATACAACCTGCACTGTTCTTTGAGAGCATCTGCCTCAGATGTCAATCCTATGATGTCTTTCTCATTTGTGCATGTGGTTAACCACTTTCTGCAGTAGCACCTTCCCCTAATTTATCACTCTGTCCCCTGTGTTTCTGTTTAGTTTTTTGTGTGCCTTCTCCTAATTGTTCATAAGCTCTTCCAAAGAAGACATGGAGCCTATATTTTGAGCATGTCACCATGGCTTAATAAGGGAAGGGGTACAGGGAGGTAGGGAACAATAAAGAAGGTACATATTGATGTATGGTGATTTAGTCTAGGCAGGGAACTTAGGGCAGGAAGCCAGGGAAGAACTCTGTCTTCTATCAAATGAGAGCCTCATTGAAGACAGAAAAATCATGTAATATCCCTTTGCTTCACTGTGTAGGAATTTAAGTAATTAAAATTTAACTACTTAAAATCCATTATTGTAGGAAATCAGAGATCGATGCTGATGAAAGAGGTGTGTGCACTGAGAGGGAAATATTAGAAGAAGAGGTTAAAGCCTGACATTTGGTAGGGAAAAGGTAATTCTTACTTAGAATTTGGTAATTTTAACTTAAAATTTACAAGGAAAAAAACACATTGATTTAGTATGATGTATCAGGTACTGTGGAAGGGTGTCCTATGTTATCTTTGTATAGAGGTGATCTAACTTATCCTCAAAATACTCAAAACGACCCACTCAAATACATATTACAACTTTGGAGAATGAGGAATTGGCATTTTAAGTGACTTGCCAAATCACAGTGGTAAAACTGTAGTTAAAAAGGAGAGAAAGGAAGCTTGAACAAAAGAGATACAAGGAAGACTGTGTTAACAAATGGGATGGGAGAAGGGATGAGTCAGCTAGATGGGGAGGAAGGACCGTGAAAAGCACAGGTCATGGAGGAGCTGGGTTTAAGACTGACCAGGCCCATCTGTACCCCAATGTTTATAGCAGCAATGGCCACGGTCACCAAACTGTGGAAAGAACTAAGGTGCCCTTCAACGGACGAATGGATAAGGAAGATGTGGTCCATATACACTATGGAGTATTATGCCTCCATCAGAAAGGATGAATACCCAACTTTTGTAGCAACATGGACGGGACTGGAAGAGATTATGCTGAGTGAAATAAGTCAAGCAGAGAGAGTCAATTATCATATGATTTCACTTATTTGTGGAGCACAACAAATAGCATGGAGGACAAGGGAGATGGAGAGGAGAAGAGAGTTGAGGGAAATTGGAAGGGGAGGTGAACCATGAGAGACTATGGACTCTGAAAAACAATCTGAGGGTTTTGAAGGGGTGGGGGGTGGGAGGTTAGGGGAACCAGGTGGTGGGTATTGGAGAGGGCACAGATTGCATGGAGCACTGGGTGTGGTGCAAAAACAATGAATACTGTTACACTGGGAAAAAAAAAAAGACTGACCAGGCCCTACAGGCTATGTGGCGGCCTGCCTGGGATGGAGAGGACAAGGACTATTGATTGGCATGGAAGGTAAAGGAGAGGAGAGTGAATAGGTTTAAGAAACAAAGATTTAAAAAGGATTTAGATATCTAGTTTAAAAAGATTTGGATTTGGGGACAAAATGGAGGTTTTCCTGCCCCAGTTTTCCTGAATCAACAGAGAAAAGTTGAATAAAAGAGATCAAGTATTTCTCTGCCACAGTGAAGCTTTCTGGATAAAAGACTATGTCCTGCCAGAAGGGGTCTTTCATGATATGAGGGAAGGGGAACATAAAACCCGTGCTGGAAATAAGCTGCATCTCTGAAAGAAAACCCCAGGTTCTGCTCACCTGAACAGATTTCTCATCCTCCTGATCCCATAGACTGGACTTTCAGGCCAACTCACTCCTCCTTTATGCAGGCCTACCTGACCTTCAAGATAGCTGGTCACAGACCTGGTCTTTAGCTCACTACCTGGAAGCAGGAGCTGACTGGCCTTCTTATTTATCATGACTTCAGAACTAGCCTTTTCATTCCCTCAATTTTGGCAGTCAGTCCCTTGGGTGACACAGGCAAATCAGCCTTAGAAGAATTTGTGTCCTTGAGGCCTGTAGGAATAATTGGGCCAAGAGCAGAGGAGCCCAGGACATGCCTTCTGGGAAAAAGAGAAGTCAGATTCTAAGAAAATATACAAGATGTGTATGAGTGTGTGGGTATGTGGATATACATGCCTATGTGAGCATGCTTTTATGTGCATTTGCAAGTGCGTAAATTCATGTGAGTGTGCATCTGAACACGTGTGTGTGCATGTGTGTGCATATGTGCTTGTGTGTATGTGTGTGCGTGTGTGTGTGTGTATGTATGCATAACCACATTCCCTCATGTAGAATTATATTTGCAAGTTTGCATGAATCTATGAGCATGTATATCTTCCCACAAATTTATTTACCATTGAATGTACATTCATGTAGGTGTTGATATGACAGAGGAGTGTCCTTGAGTCACTAACCCAAGGAAAGGACCCTCATATCTGAGTATAAGGTGGAAGTGAACATCCATTCATGTCTGTATATGTGCATGAATGTCTTGCATTTCTCTATAATTCCATGTATTGTATGCCAGTATATGTTTGCTTAAAGATACTTTTCAAATACTCTGATAATTGTCTTATATCCTAAACTTTATTGGTCAGTGACATTACTGTGTACTTTGGGACAGCAGAAATTGCCTTGTACCAAAACAGGCAAAGTATGATCTAAGAGGCCTGTTGAATTTGCACCTTGTACTCGGATCTGGGGTTTCTTTCCTTAGGTTATTGACTCAAGGACATACTTCTGTCATACCACCACCTACAGATCTGACACACTGTCAACCCCATTTTTTCTCATCCTGGTTATAAATTAGGGCTTGTTTGTTTGTTTGTTTGTTGTGAGAGAGAGCACATATAAGTTGCGGTGGCACAGGGAGAGGAAAAGAGAGAATATCCTAAGTAGGCTCCATGCCCAACGTGGAGCCAGACTTAGGGTTCAATTTCACAACCCTGAGATCAAAATCTCAGCCAAAGTCAAAGGTCAGACACTTAAATGCCTGAGCCACCCAGGCATCCTATAAATTAGGCTTTTATGCCTCCCCTGGACTTAGTTCTGTCCCAGACTATGATATGGACCAAAAAAGGCAACACTGGAA